TGAAAACTAGTAAAGTATAAAATATAGATTATTTTCAGTAGGTTCAATCGAAAAGTGAAGGTCTCCAGTTTACGGTTCTTATTGAAATATCTAATTATCCTGTGTAGTTATTATAAAATTAATGAAAACTTGGGAACGGTTCTTTTCAACGACACTTTTAACAGTATACTAACGTATAACAACAGCTTTATAACTTTTCATTAATAAAAAAAAATATGAATTAATGTGATGAATCTAAATAATTATAATGATTCTGACTGATTTAAAAGAGAAATTTGTCATCATTTGAGACTTTGTATATTTATTTATTTGTATTATTATTATTTTTTTTTACTTTTAATAAATATAATTTTATATATAAATGAATTATGTAGTTATTAGATAATAGTGATTAGTGTTAAAGTTTTTGGGTCGCCATGGTAACCTTTAGGATAATAAATAATCCTGTGACATTTTCGATGTACGAATTCCGATTTAGTCGTCGAGAGTGCTGCAGCCTGAGTGTGTGTGTGTATACTTTCGTTTTCTTTATGTGCATATGTGTGAAGTATAATTGAAAAGTTTAGCATCAAAAACTGGCGGAGAACACACATATATACATCAGCAAACAAGTATATGTATACATACATACTCGAGGCGCACTCGCGAAAATGCAAAGCAGTGGAAACAGGCTTGAAGATATTTCGAGTGTGTATTATCAAGTGCGCTCGTTTCGTGCGAAAATTTCAGGACACTTAATTGAAAACACACTTGTCTGGCGAAGTGCGACGACAAGCAACGTTCGTGAGGAGGAGGAGGATGAAGATAAAATGTCTTGAGACGCGGCCGGCGCCTTCGTCTTCGTCGCCTAATTTCAACTAGATATTGCATATCGCGTAATATACATCTTTCTCTCCATTGAGGACGACACAAAAGGACGTCTTTTGTTCGGTCCTTTTTCCATATGTTTTTATTTTCTGTTCTCTCTTCTGTATCAAATAAATTGAAGAACCCACCGCAAAGAAAAATCAATTACATTCATTCTTTCTTATTATCGCATCTCCTTTCAAACACAAACGTTTTCATAGAAAGATCTAAACATTTCTTTCTATAACATAAAGCAGGCATTGCCTAGATGACGGTTTTCAGCATTTTTTAGTAGTAACGTGAAGTTTGAGAATGCTTGCAACCAAATGGAAAGTCAAGGCTGAGAAGATGGAGTTGGAGTCTTTGCTGACAAGGGAAAAGGAGACCACCAAGTAGTATCAGAAGCAGTTGGAGAAGTACAAGCTGAAGTACACAATTGGAAATGCATTGATCGAGAGTCTTCAGAAGAAAATCTATGAATACGAGAGGGAGATCAAGAAGTTGAAGCTGCAGATGGAGTCATACCAGGGCCCTACGTTTCAAGAGCTGAAATCACTCATCAAGCAGCTGCAGGATGAGAAGAACAACTTGCTGATAGAGTCAGGAAATCAAGTAGAAATCGCTCTCGCGCACATGGATTTCGATAAGTACAGAGTGATTCTGCAATCAATTACATTCATTCCTTCTTATTATCG